TCTTTGTCTCTCTCTTTGTCTCTCTCTTTGTCTCTCTCTTTGTCTCTCTCTTTGTCTCTCTCTTTGTCTCTCTCTTGCAGATATTTCATGGCCTTAGTTCAGGAGATGGCGGTGAAGGTGGACCAGGGTTTCCTCTCCGCCATCTTGGCTCTGTTCACTCCGGCCGCAGACCCTCAGGCCGACAAACAGAAAGTCAGTTTGGTTTTCATATTTTTATAACATTTGGAACTGTGGAACTTACTTTTGTACGGATCATTTCCTTTAAGTTCCTTCGTCTTTAATACTCATCCCTTTGCAGTGTTGGGGAGTAACAGATTACAAGTACCGGAGTTAATCAGAGTACAAATTATGAGTAACTGTATTCGGTTACAGTTACTGTTTCAGTGAGTGGTAATTGGATTACAGTTACTTTGTTGAAGTAAATGGATTACACAGAGGGATTTTCCTGTATATTTTGGGCTATTTCTCTCTCTCTTTTTTATTTATTTTTTTCTGTAATTCCACTCATTGTCGGAAACTAAACCAGGTCTAAACTAGATCTAAACCAGGTCTAAAACCAGGACTAAAACCAGGACTAAAACCAGGACTAAAACCAGGACTAAAACCAGGTCTAAACCAGGTCTAAACGAGGACTAAACCAGGACTAAACCAGCACTAAAACATGACTAAAACCAGGACTAAACCAGGTCTAAAACCAGGTCTAAACCAGGACTAAACCAGGACTAAACAGGACTAAAACCTAGGACTAAACCAGGACTAAAACCAGGACTAAAAAAGGACTAAACCGGACTAAAACCAGGAAACCAGGAAAACCAGGAAAAACAGGACTAAAACCAGGACTAAACCAGGGCTAAACCAGGGCTAAACCAGGGCTAAACCAGGACTAAACCAGGACAGGTAAACCAGGACTAAACCAGGACTAAAACCAGACTAAAACCAGGACTAAACCAGACTAAACACTAAAACAGGACTAAACCAGGACTAAACCAGGACTAAACCAGCACTAAACCAGGTCTAAAACCAGGGCTAAACCAGGACTAAACCAGGACTAAACCAAGACTAAATCATGCTGCGTGGATGTGTCTCTTCTTCTATCAATAATATTTAGAATTTGTTTAAGGAAAGTCTGGGCTTCTTACTGTCTTTTAGATAAAACATCTTATGTTACTAAATCCTCGTCTTTGCTTCTCTACAGCAAATCAAGTAATCCAAAGTATTCAGATTACATTACTCACTTTAAGTATTTTAATGGATTACGTTACAAACTACATTTTGGGATATGTAATCTGTAATCTGTAGGGGATTACATTTTAAAAGTCACCTTCCCAACACTGTCCCTTTGTCTGTGTTTTGTTCCAGTCCAAGTTGATAGAGAAGGACCTTCAGATGCTGCAGCCTGAGCTCATGGAGGCGTCTCTCACCGACATCACCGGACTCAGCTTCTTTGAGCACTTCCACATCTCGCCCATAAAGGTACGTGTGTCCTACCAACTCCATCTTGGCTGTTTTATCCCTTCTGACCACCAGAGGGCGCAGTTTAAAGCACTGAAGCACTCCATTTGTTTGAGCATTAAAGGTTGTATAGAGGATTTTCCAAGGAACGAGAAATCCAGCGACTGTTTGTCCTTTTTCAAATGTTGCGCATGCGTGAAACCACCCCCCCTCCCCTACAGCTCCTACGTAGAAACGCCTCCTCCCTCCTCCTCCTTTACGCCAGAAACAGGTTTGTTTACAGCCGGTGCTGCACATGACTTGTAAACAACTAACTACAGTGTTGGTTAGGCAAGACGGAGAAGTGAGGAGCGGGGGGAGGGGGTGTCCTGAAAAACGTTTGTCTAACTTTTGGAAATAAAGTACGTTTTCATAATAAGCAGAAGTTTCCTGTCCAGGAGTAATTTGTGGACCAGTGCGTCAGTCTTTAGACCCTTCGTCTGCTTCAGTCGCGCCATCGCTGGAATGAATCTTCAAGAATCACCTTAGTTTGGTTTCGCTGCTTTTCCCCTTGTCTTCTTCTTTCAGCGACCTCAAAAACGGACTTTCTTTTGCGGCGAACTGCTCCTGGATTCTTGTTGCCATTGAAACAAACTTTGTGCGAACTGCGAGGAAGATATAGGTCAAAAAAAGCCGCTAAGAACCGTTGCGTTGGTGGAGTAAACAGCAGAAAACGAGGCTGCCTCATTTTCTATTGGCTGTTAGGTCGTCAATCAAACTCCCTACCTTTCTAGTGTAACTGACTCGTCAACGCACGGGGATTACATGGTTTATGTGGCGGTTCTTAGAGGCTTTTTCAAACTGTATCTTCCTCGCAGTTCGCACAAAGTTTGTTGCAATGGCGGACGAGAATCCACGACCAGTTCGCCACAAAAGAAATTCCGAAGACAAACTGTGGTGATTCTTGGAGATTCCTTCCAGCGACGGTGCGAATGAAGCAGACGAAGGGTCTAAAAACTGACACATCGGTTACTCCTAACACTGGTGATGGGGCAGATTTATGAAGCTGTTGAAGAATATGCCAGACATTTACACACACATTTTGCCATACAAAACCATTAACCAGAAGTTCTGCAAACCTTACCGGGCAGAACTTCCTGCCTTTGTGAAAAAATCTCAAGAGATCCTCTGGCAGTCAATAGGAATTCATAGAATCATAGTCACATTTGTAACTTTCATTTTAAACCATAAAGATACAAATATAATCAAAATACCACCCACAAATATAAATATTTGTATTTATCCTTTACTGTTTGTTTTTAAAATCCTCTTTCTCATCCTCCACAGCTGCACCTGAGTCTGTCCCTGGGCTCCAGTGGAGATGATCCGTCTCAGGAGGCGGCTGCAGTTCAGTCTTTAAACCTGCTGCTCAAAAGTATCGGCGCCACTCTCACCGACGTGGACGACATCATATTCAAGTAAGAGGAACACAGCTCTTGTGACTAACGGTACTTTGGACTCTGTCATGAAGTTCTGTTGGTGACCATAATCCTCACGTGTTTTTCAGACTGGCGTTTTTCGAGGTGAAGTATCAGTTTTACAGCAGAGACAAACTCATGTGGGAGGTCATCAGCCACTACAGTGAACAGGTGGGTGTCTCATAGTGTCACTTTTGCTTTAGCATCAACATTAATGTTAACATTAACATAGGGTGTCCAGACGTCCACATTTACCTGGGACAGTCCCAGTTTTGAGCCCTGTGTCCCCTGTCCTTGCAGATTTATCCAAACGTAATGATTTGTCCCAGTTTTATATAAGAAATGTTCCAGGTGTCCCTATTTTTGACCAATTTTATACCTGCCAACAGTAAAGAGAGGTGTATATTGATATTTGTTTAGGTAAAATACAGAGAATCTGATTAAAAATGACCAAAACACAAAGAAAATGTGACTGTGCTGACTCACAGTACAGTTTTCCTTAATTACTTTCACAGTTTTATTATTACCAGCTATTCCTAACCGAGGGCGTCACAGTTTTATTTTAAAAATCTAGTCACCCTACATTAACATTAACGGCAAAGGAGGAATTCAATTTGTTGACTTTTTTGGGGGGCAAATTCCTTTTCTCGGCTCATCCAATTTGCTTCTTCAGTTCTGGTCAGACGTTGGTGGACATTGCCTTTTATATCTGCCTGCAGGGAGGAGATAACTACCATATTTTTCGGACTATAAGACACACTTAAAATCCTTTACTTTTCTCAAAAATCGAAAGTGCGTTTTATAATCCGGTGCGTCTTATGTATTAATTCTGGTTGTGTTTACTGACCTCAAACTGATTTTATGTGGTGCGCTACGCTCAAAAATCTGTCCAAATGTTTTAGTATGACTTTGGTAAACTACAAAGCCGCACCGCCTGATGGATTGTCAGATAATTACGGCTCACTTACTTGCGGAGTAAGTGAGTCCTGTCCTTTAGTCCGACAGAAGCTGAACCGCATCAGCGCACAAAGAGCGAGCTGTTTTTTCAGAGCTTATAGTTTATGGAAATGAGCCATGTGGTTTTAAATTTTGTTTCTGTAAAACGTAAACAAATGTGCACAAAGCTGCATTAAACACATTATTACTCAATGTATGTTTGGGAGAAATGTATATTTGTATATCGTAGGAAATAAAAAAAATAATTTAAATGATCCACCCACATTCACATTCATAATCTACATTCACCAAAACAGAGAGGCAACGCCGGGAGAATTACGCCACGATCTGCCGATGGATCGTGGACGTCTGGACTAAAGGATCCGTCTCAAGTGTCGTCTGTTTGTTTTGCTTAATGCGCCTTATAATCTGGTGTGACTTGTGTATGAAAACAGACGAGAGAATTTGCTTGTTGAATTTGAAAATTTGCTAAACTCACATAGTGCAGTTAAAAAATAATTATAAAAGGCTTAGGGAATGTGCAATAATTAATAGAATACAAGAATGCAAGGGCTTGTAATTTAAAGGTCCTGTTGGTGCATCACACGTGGTCACATATTTATTCTGTTCTATGATGTTTGTTTATGTGCTGCTTTGTGTTGTGTTGTTTTTTGATAAAGCATGTGACCCCCTGTCCCAAGACAAATTTCTCCCATGGGAGACAATAAAGGATTATCTTATCTTATCTATCTTATTTGACATTATTGATATTGCGCCTTATGAAAAATACAGCACTCTGAAACGACTCTGAAACTAACAGACCTACTTGTTTACAGTTTGTTTGCTTTCACAGCTCTGGGCCTGACGCAGCTATCGGCATTGTTTCTTTTGTTTTGAGGATCATCTAACATTATACTTTTGTGTCTTTGTGCTGCAGTTCCTGAAGCAGATGTACGTTCTGGTTCTGGGTCTGGACGTTTTGGGGAATCCGTTTGGTCTGATCCGAGGTCTGTCTGAGGGCGTGGAGGCCTTCTTCTACGAGCCCTTCCAGGTAATAATAAGCACACTGACTGTCAGCTGAAATGTGGTTTTGTTCCAATCCCTGATGCCCTGACAACAGACTCCACGTTAAAATAAGTTAATGTGATGTTACAGGGAGCAGTTCAGGGTCCAGAGGAGTTTGCTGAAGGTTTTGTGATTGGAGTGCGCAGTCTGCTTGGACACACTGTTGGTAAGTTTTCATTCCAAGCTAAAAGATTCACAGAAATCTCTGAAATGTATTATAAGGTGGGAATCATGTTAATGCTGAGCCGATCTTCAGTATTCTTCAGCCTGTCCATGTCTCCCTCTGCCCCCAGGTGGCGCCGCAGGGATGGTGTCTAAGATCACAGGCTCGGTGGGGAAGGGTCTGGCTGCGATCACGATGGACAAAGAATATCAACAGAAACGAAGAGAGGAGATGAACCGACCGCCCAAAGACTTCGGGGAGAGTTTGGCCAAAGGAGGGAAGGGACTCCTCAAGGTCAGAAAGCAGCCGGGACATTGTTTTAGTTTGGTGAGCTAAACTAAAGCTCATGTCCATGTTGTGTTTGTTTCTCCTCAGGGTGTTGTGGGAGGAGTTACAGGCATCGTCACTAAACCCATGGAAGGTAGGTTGCGCTCAATATTCTCTTTAATATGTGTTATTTTGGACACATGTTAGGTTTATCTAAACATTAAAAACAAGAAGAAAGACAAGAGATTAATTCAGTTTTACTCGCGAGGAGAACGGGCAGAGAGTGGGCATCAAAACCAACAGTCTCCACACGTTCTGATGACTCAAGGCCGTTCTCCTCTTTTTATTTCATTAGGAGGCCCTAGTTACAGAATGATAATTCTCAAGGGGAAGGGGAAACAGCCAAGACATAATAAGAAACTGATGAAGCTATGCATAGTACAAACACATAAAACATGATTAACAATCAGGAGGTGCCTTAGGTCAGACACCATCATAACTCTTCATGTGTGACAGTGGGAGTTGGCTTCATGTGAGGAATCATCTCGAGGTTCACTAGAGCGACAGGACACTGCACACAGTTGTCAAACACACAGAGGTTATTCATTTTCATACAAGTGATTGGTACATTATAAATCAAAGAATTGTAGTACATAAATGGTTAACTCATAGGCATAGAATATCACACAAGTATTTAGCAAATATGGGATAATAAAATTATTCTGACAACACATAAGCCTTGGTGTCGTTTGTAGCATAACTCCATATAATGTACAGGTCTTGAAAATAACCGTAGTTGTCTTAAAGGACAACTATTATTCAAAATTGACTTTTTTAACTTTTCATCATCAAAAACATACCTGGAGTTTGCTTAGTTCCCACTTGGCAAAGGAGAAAATCAATTTGTTAGCTGGACAAAAGTTTATTTTGATCTAATACTTTTCACGGCTCATCCAAGCTGCTTGTTCAGTTCTGGTCAGACGCTGGTGGACACTAGCCTGATTCATCAGCCGGTTTCACTTCGTAGAGACCGTCTAACCTCGCAGCATTAGGATTTGTTCGCTTGACAGTAGGCGGGTACTATGTTATTTAACCAATCGCTGGTATTTGGTCGTGATGTATGTAATGCACCGCTAATGGGGCTAACTAGTATATTAAGCTTTTCTCAAATCCCGTAGGAAGAAGGACAATAACGTCTTTCCCCTTCATAAAATTCACCAAACATTCTCTTTGTTTCGGCTTTAAATCCTCGATCTCGGGAATCGTTGCCAACACAGAATGTCTGGCTCTTTGTTGATTGTCTGGTGCCTGAACTCACACTTCCAGAGTTCTTACAAACCGTCTAGTGTATTCCAATTCCTGACCGAGTTGCTGGAAAGAAATGAAATTAAGTGGAGGCACTAGATGAACACTGTCTTATATCTGAAACGTATTCGATCAAAAATAACTTTTGTCCGGTTGACAAATTGAATTTCTCCTTTGCCGTGGATTCTACCTGGACGACTGAGGGATTTTACACACATCTTAGTTCACATTTGTCTCTTTACAGTTTTAGAAATCACTGTTTGAATTTTGGCCAAAGTTTTGCAATAGAATGTCAATATTTATTCATTTCTGTTTGACCTGGCAAAAAACCCATAGAGACAGAATTAGACAGGAAGTAGTGACACTAACAGTGAGCTAACCAGTGTACAGAGCCTGTTAGAGCTGATTAAGGTGTACAAACTGATCACCTGATGACATCATACAGTGAAACCACTGAGCAGTCTGTATCAGGGCTCCATCACCTGCTTGTTTCTATAGAGATGTCATTTCAGTGTGACATTAAACAGCTCTACTTTACATTTATTCAATTACAAGTTGTTTTATTGCTCAAAAATACCCAGAAAAACAGATCTGTAACTTGGTCCGGTTTGGTCTCCATGACGATATGAAGGTTTAAATCCATACCGTGAAACGTTCCAGACAAACCGATAACATCTCCACGAAGAAAAGCGTTTGACGGACCCTCCACCGAATGACGATAAAGGATAAATGCGCATAAAACAGATGACCCAGTTAATTGTTTTTACGTCGGCCTTGTTTTTCCTCAGGAGCGAAGAAAGAGGGCGCTGCTGGCTTCTTTAAGGGCATCGGTAAAGGGCTGGTGGGGGTGGTGGCGCGTCCCACTGGAGGCATCGTGGACATGGCCAGCAGCACGTTCCAGGGCATCCAGAGGTAACACACTCCAACCTGTGTGAAAAAAACAACTTAAAATAAAAAGTGTGTGTGTGTTATACTGTGTGTGTTAATATGTTGCGTTAATTACAGTTTGTGTTTTGATGGAGGGAAGGATTCTAAAGATAAAATTCCATGTTATAGCCAGATTTTTTTACCTTTTTTTATTGTTTATGCCCGTGGGTTTCAGAATGACGACTAATTAGGACCGTTGCCATAGCGATTAACTGTGGAGTAAGAAAGATTTCAGAAATATTTGTGTGTGTAAGATAGAAATCTGTGCATATTTGTCTGTAGCTGAGCATAAAATAAATATTCGTAAACTCTCGAATGAGTCTAGTCGAACATAAAATGTGTTGTGTGTATTTTAGTTTCCATCAGAATATGAAATGAAAAGTTACAACGTCAAGAATTAAAATCACAAAATTAAAATGTATGAATACGCTTCCTTCAGTTCGAATATGAATGGTTTAATCCTGGTTTAGTCCTAATTTAGTCCTGGTTTAATCTTAGTTTAGTCCTGGTTTAGTCCTGGTTCAGTCCTGGGATGAGTTTTGGTTTAGTCCGGATTCAGTCCTGGTGCAGTCCAGGTTTAGACCTGGTTTAGTCTTAGTTTAGTCCTGTTTTAGACCTGTTTAGGCCTAGTTACTCCTGGTTTATTCCTGGTTTAGACCTGGTTTAGTCCTAGTTTTGTCCTGTTTTAGTTCTGGTTCAGTCCTGGGATCAGTGTTGGTTTAGTCCAGGTTCGATCTTTGTTTAGACCTGTTTAGTCCTGGTTTATTCCTGTTTTAGTCCTGTTTTAGACCTGGTTTAGTCCTTTTGTAGTCCTGGTTTAGTCCTGGTTCAGTCCTGGTTTAGTTCTAGTTTAGTCCTGGTTTAGTCTTCTTGGTTCAGTCCTGGGATCAGTCCTGGTTTAGTTCTAGTTTAGTCCTGGTTTAATCCTGGTTTAGTCCTGTTTTAGTCCTGGTTTAGTCCTGTTTTAGTTCTGGTTTAGTCCTGATTTAGTTCTAGTTTAGTCCTGTTTTAGTCCTGTTTTAGTCCTGTTTTAGTCTTGTTTTAGTCTTGTTTTAGTCCTGTTTTAGTTCCGGTTTAGTCCTGGTTTAATCCTGGTTTAGTCTTGTTTTAGTTCTGGTTTAGTCCTGTTTAGTCCTGGTTTAGTCCTGTTTTAGTTCCAGTTTAGTTCTGGTTTAGTCCTGTTTTAGTCCTGTTTTAGTTCCGGTTTAGTCCTGGTTTAGTCCTGTTTTAGTCCTGGTTTAGTTCCGGTTTAGTCCTGGTTTAGTCCTGTTTTAGTCCTGTTTTATTTCTGGTTTAATCCTGGGATCAGTCTTGGTTCAGTCCTGGTTTAGCCCCGGTTTAGTCCACACACACACACAAATATTTCTGAAAGCTTTGTTACTCCATAATTAACTATTTAAAACTACATATTGTCAGAAGTTGTCAAAACTTTTGGCTCCATCGACTCTGGCTCGAGTTCACTTTCTATTGAAAATCCGTCGCCTTTCTCTCTGTAACTGCAGCTGTCAGACTCGTCATTCTGGTCTTAAAATGTTCGTATTAACTCACTCTACATGATCCTGGGGTTTTTATTTCACTATTTTGTTCATAAATCAAGATATGAACATTAATAACAGACTAATCCGGCGCCTTCTTTCCCCGAGGTTTTTCCTGGTAGGTTCGAGTTTCTTCAACACACTCGCTTCTGATAGACTTTACTGTAGACAACGATATTAAATTGCTTTTTCAGTTTGTTAGAGTCACTTCTATAATGAAAATATCCTCATTTGGAAATTTTCAGTTTGTAAAAATATAAAAAAAAACATAAATAATAATAATAATAAAGTAACGCAACCTATTAAAAGTGTTTATACTGTATGTTCAGAACTGTAGCTGTGCTGTGTTGTCTTCTTCTAATTTTCTGCTTTTGTTTCTGTCTCGTGATGTTGCCTGGGATTTTTTTCTTGTCTTTGTGGTTTGTGAGTATTCGTCATTTATCGCGCCCAAGCTGCGCTCCTTCATTTACGATCACAAGAGAATAAAAAAAACAAAAATACAATTATAATCATGGTTTAAAAAGTGCATATGACCGGTCAGACTCATTTCACTAAAACATAAACACATGGTACAAAAATCTTGCCTAGTTTTGGTTTTTTTGTTAATATGGTTGGACATAACTTACTTATTTTATAATTTTATTATTTATTTTATAGGGTAGCACTGATTTGACAAATAAAATCAAATTACAACACACAATTTTAAAAGTACAGTAAGCAAAAGTGCAGGTACCGGATCAGAAATTTCTAAAAATAGTAAAAGTGTCAAATGAAAAATCTAATTAGTATTAAAAGTATTAAAGTACCTGTTAAAGTAAAAGTATTCTGGAGTTTTCCGTGTTGATGACAAAGGTAGAGAGATTCTGTTTTAGCGCTACATCCTGTATTTTTATTCTCTCCACAAACTTGCCACTCAACTGATGTAAAACTATGATAAACATTGACCACAGGTTCGATCCGAGTAAACCAGGTCAGATTAGAAAAACCTTGCAAACCTGTCATCTGCACTTTGACCTAAACTTGTTCGAAGGAGCTCGGTTTGGAGTGGCTGCTCCCTTGTGCTTGTGCATGTGAATGTTGTTGCACAGACTGAAGGTAAGTCGCTGCATTTTGTTGTAAATTAAACTGATTTTGTATCAAACATGGATCATCTCTCACACTCAGTAATATTACCAGCCTCTTGTATTTGTTTCCCTTCGGCCTGAAACAGCATTTGGAGCATTTGCATCTAAAGTTGTATTTTGTTTTGCCAGTTCTAAGTTTTACTTGACAATAAAAAGTTTTTGTTATGCTTCAGGATTTGAATGGAGACAGTCTGTAAACTGTCTGCTGTGTATTTTATGTTTCTTTATAAAGTGTAATGAGTCTGAGGATTGTCAGGATAATTTTCCAGGAGAAGAAGTCAGACTGAGCTTTAAAGCTCCTGTGGCTGATACTTTAAAGAAATAGTAGTCTTTGTTGTAGAATTAAGTGAAGTCTGAGAGAGCAGAGAGGCAGTGTGTGTTTATTCACCAGTGCATGGTCAAAACACTCAGGCAGAGCACAGTCAGTTCAGTCTGACCTCTGCTTCCAGTGTAGGAGTTTTATAACTTCACATTGTTTCTCAAAGGAGGCTGAGTAAAGCCTGGAGTTAAGAGAAAACTCAGGGTTAATCTGTTTTCTGTTTGATGAAACAGGTTTGGAGCAGAGTTAGAAAACTCAGAGACAGTATAAACTTTGAGTTTGCAGAGGACAAAAGACTTTAGGATCCCAGAAAAGAGGAGTCACCATGGCAACGGTAAACCAGAGGAGGCGGCTATGTTAGAGAGACAGGACGTCATGTGACTGTGGACCAGCACATGTTTAATCAGTCTACACTTTTAGTGTTAGTAAGATACAAATAAGATTAGACAGGTTCTGAGTTTAGATCGTGAGAACTCAGATTTCGATTCATTTTAAAGTTGGTTTAAACCAGAGGTCTCCAGCCTTTTTCTTCTGGGGAGCTACTTTTACAAAATTAAAATGTCCAAGAGCTTCTCATTTTAGTGGTCACAAGAAATTAAATATATTTAAGAGCCACGGCCTTTAGATGGGGCACAGTTAGATGTTTTACACTTACAAAGTGCACAGCGTTAGTCATGAAAATGACACACTTACAGTTGTAATAGCCTTTTAATCAATCCAGTTTTAGTTATTCCGGACAATACGTGTAATTCAGAAATCCCTTGATGAGCTACTTTGAAGGGAGTGGAGAGCTGCTGGTATCTCCTGAGCTGCAGGTTGGAGACTTCTGGTTTAAACCAACTGCATTTCAGCATTGACTCTGGAAACCCAAAAAAGAGACTCATGAGGCTCAATCTGATCTGACTGGATAAATTCTAACATAAACAACAACAACAACAGAGTTAAACTGAGCCCTTTGAAACAGTCACTCTGGTTTATTTAAACTCTGACACAGAAAACCAGAGTTTAGTTCATTCCAGGGATGAGATCAAATTGTCCATGAAGAAACGTCGACAAGGACCTCGCTGGAGCGTCCTTGGTCCAGGGCAGTTTCCTCTTTGAGTGGGACTTGTGCATGAATGACTTCATCTCACACTAGAATTTCAACTGTTTATATATATTTTTTTAATCTTTTATATTTTTTTTGTCTTTTTTTTTTAGTCTTTTTACGTAAACACATAAACAGTTTAGAGCAGATGAGTGAGTTGGACACAGGAGCTGGCTGTGCTCTGTGTTTAGGTGAACTGCACTGAACTGTTTGGAGGCAGTTTGAAATGCTGCATGAGTTTTTAATGAATTCATAAGATCTTAATAAACTGTCATGACGTCCCCCTCCCCCTTCCTCCTCCCTCTCATCGAGTCATGTGACCCTCCACCTCTGCCCTCTTTAACTGCTGTTGTGTTCCATGCTCCCTCTAGAGTTGAAAGGTGAGAATAGCATCGTGTCCACAGTTTGAATGAACTGAGAAATATGTGAAATACACAAACAGACTTGGACATTATGCAGTAAATAAAACTCACATCACATGGCATGATTAGTGTATTTATTCACTGGTGATAAAAGTATAGCCACAACTGCCCTGAGGCTGTCTGATGGTAATAAGACTGCCAGTCTAATCCAATATAATATTATATCATCACTTAAAGGGAGTTTGGGTTTTTTAACACACCGACAGCGTCCGGTGAGCCGAGATACTGGCCGGGTTTGGTGCTGACGAAAGTAGTCCGGCAAGTTGGCTGGGGACATTAAAATAAAGTATTTTTCTTTTCAAAACGATATGTGTTTAAAAGAGTGATACATTTGCATCACAAAACCTTCATCCTCAAAAAAGTCGGACCTCACAATCGCTTGGCACTATTTTTCTCCGTTCGTGTCACTGCGCGCTGAAATGTGTGCGGAGATTCAGCCAGATTTTTGTTGTTACATCCTGGATAATCACAAGTCCGCACCATTTTTTAGACATATTCTTATGAAGCTTATACACGCTTATATACTTGTCGCTCCAGCTCTCACGTTGGCTCTCTCACTTCGCGGGGCTCTGAGCACGTGAACACTGCCAAACAACTGAAGAAAGTGATGGATCGGTGCGCGGCTCTCAACTTGCGGCTGCAGCGATACAAACGAAGAGAAAATAGTGCCAAGTGATTATGAGGTCTGACTTTTTTGAGGACAAATTTATGGATACAAATGACAAATTTTATGTGAAGCTCAGAGCCTCCAGAATTCCCTCCCTGAGGCGTTGGGTTCAGGTAGAGATCAGATCAGAGCAGAGGTGGGACTTGCACGTCGTGACTTGGACTCGAGTCAGACTTGAGTCACTATTTTTAGGACTTGAGACTTGACTTGATAAAATAGACGAAGACTTGGGACTCGACTTGGACTTGAAGGTCAGTGACTTGGGACTTGAGGTCTGTGACTTGAGAAGCACTGAAGCAAAATCTGAATTCTTTCCATTCTGACCAAATGAGTCACTCTAAGATCTTGTCAAGACATTTAAAAAGGAAAAAAAAAATTAAAATAATAATAATAGTATCTACAACTTTTATATACTATGACTTTACAAGTACAATTTATCTTATAATTCATAGAAATTGGAGAAATCTAAGCTGGATTTGGTACTTTGGTACTTGAAATGACTTGAAGCTCCAAGCAGAGGACTTGGACTTGACTTGGATTTATGCGCCAGTGACTCAAGACTTGACTTGGACTTGCCTGTATTTGACTTGGGACTTGACTCGGACTTGAGGTCAGAGACTTGAGACTTACTTACAACAGACTTGGTCCCACCTCTGGATCAGAGAGAAACATTTTAGGTTTAAACACACTGGATTTCACCATCAAACCTGGCAACCCAAATGAGAGACAAATGTGAGGCTCATTCTGCTTTTTAACTGGATAAAATTACAACATAAACAACTTGAGCACCATGTTTTTATAATGAAGAAATCAGCAACAACATTACATTAGATGATTAATATTCTAAAATCAAATCATTTAACTTTAACTTTAACTCTGCTATACAGTATATTCCTTTTTTGTGTCAGATATTAGAGGTGAAAATGTTGTATCTGTAATCTTCAGTCGTCTCGTCCAGATTCTAAAGTGTGTTTTGTTTTTGTTCAGAGTGGCGGAGTCGACGGAGGAGGTGACGAAGCTCCGCCCCGTGCGCCTGATCAGAGAAGATGGAATCATTCGACCTTACGACCTCTCGGAGTCCAAAGGTTACGACCTCTTCCAGGTTTGTACTTTTTTCAATCAGATTGAATAAGACTAAAACAATAGCTTTTAAGGAATTTAAGCAGAAATCAAAACAAAGCACCAGGTATCATGACATATCCAGATGAAAAACAGGCGTTTTAACGGTTAGAAACATGAACAATGAATTTCCCATGATTCGATCTGTATCTCGATACACGGGTCACGATGTCGATGCGATTTTTATACATTTTGAGAAAAAAAAAAATCTCATGTAATTTTTTTCCCTCACAATACCTCACAAGTGTCTCGCTCACTCCAAACTTTCTTTCTGGTGCTCGATTACTGTTTTTGGCTGCAGATTTCAGTATTTGCAGCAAGATAGCGGCTTTTTCTACAGGAGACATGTGCAGTAGGGTGAAGTGACCTTGGTACAGGAGTAATAGTACTAGATACTCACACACGAGCCTAGAGCCTCTCGCAGCTTCAGTGTGAAAATTTTAATATATATGTTAGGTTTATCTAAACATTGTAAACAAGAAGAAAGACAAGAGATTAATTCAGTTTTACTCGCGAGGAGAACGGGCAGAGAGTGGGCATCAAAACCAACAGTCTCCACACGTTCTGATGACTCAAGGCCGTTCTCCTCTTTTTATTTCATTAGGAGGCCCTAGTTACAGAATGATAATTCTCAAGGGGAAGGGGAAACAGCAAAGACATAATAAGAAACTGGTGCAGCTATGCATAGTATAAACACATAAAACATGATTAACAATCAGGAGGTGCCTTAGGTCAGACACCATCATAACTCTTCATGTGTGACAGTGGGAGTTGGCTTCATGTGAGGAATCATCTGGAGGTTCACTAGAGCGACAGGACACTGCACACAGTTGTCAAACACACAGAGGTTATTCATTTTCATACAAGTGATTGGTACATTATAAATCAAAGAATTGTAGTACATAAATGGTTAACTCATAGGCATAGAATATCACACAAGTATTTAGCAAATATGGGATAATAAAATTATTCTGACAATATATAAGTCGCACCGGAGTATAAGTCACAGGAAACACCCAAACCATGAAAAAAAGTACAACTTATAGTCCAAAAAATACGTAATAACAATCTGATGTTCATGAAACATTTTATGTTTTAGTTCATTTCGTTCATTTGGTGATTTATAGCATTTTTATTTAGTGAAAATAAGAACAGAGCTTTCTCAGGCTGTTTTATATTTTATAATATAGCCAGTCCACTCTACTTTGATGATGATTTATTTTATTTTCCTCCTGAGTGTCGCTGCGTTCGCACAGACTCGTGTGTCGGTGCTGCTCTGCCTCGTCTCCAGCAGCAGCTCCTCCCGCACTCACCTGCTCTTTTTACACACACTAACACACTCTAACATCCTCTTTCTGAACACTAAAACTATATTTTTTACATAGAAATGTCTTAACGGACCATTTTCTGAGTAAAACTTATGAAACAGACTCTGAGAAATAGATCGCGTATATCGAGAGTCGCATCGCGGGTGTGTAAACAAGCACATTTGATTAAACCATTTATCCTGTCTGTGATTTGTCTTCTTATGTACTTTAACTTCTTGCGTTCTTTTCAAAGACGAGGTAAATACACTTTACTATATTGTCTTTGAAAAGAACCCGAGAAGTGAGTTGATTAAAGCCGATGATTAAAGCCAAGCGCAATTCTAAAGTATTTAAAAGTTAACATCTTTGTCATTCCTGGGTCTATCAACGTAAAATAAAAAGTGACTGAAAGATAAAATCCTCCTCTGTTAGAATATTTCAGCTGTAAGTCTCTATGTAGCTGAGGACGTATCGGACCAAAATAAATGACAACACACCACACATGGAGAAGCACATCGACACATGTATCGACCAAACACGTGTCCGATATCGTTGCATCTCTAGTATTAACCCGCTCTACATGATCCTGGTGTTTTTATTTTACTATTTTTTCCGTTAATCAATTCCTAATATGAAAGTTGGCTCCAAATTCGCTCCTGTCACTGCAGCCTCGATGAGCTTCATTTGACTGGAGCCGCTCCCTTAGTCCACTTCTTTTACAGTCTATGAGCTTTAACAATGACAGACAATAGGGCACAAATCACATCTTCAGTTTTTTCTGTTTTATTTTAGTGTGTGCACAGCTTTAATTAACCCTTTTCTAACCCTCCTCTCTCTTTCTTTCTGTTTCTCTTTTTCTCCGTCTCTCCTCGCCGCAGCCTGATCAGGAGTGAACTTTCTCTGAGCTCATTTACCAGATGCATTTGTCTTAATTAAAGACTGTTTGTTTGTCTGTGTTTAATCTAATGTAACAGAGACACCGCACACTCAGGCACGCCCCCTACAGGTCGAACAAGACACTGCGGCTGCACTCTCACTTTTACCTTTTACCCTTTTTATTTGGACACTTTTTAATTCCAGTTTATCTACATTTTTTATATATTTTAAAGTGACCAAACTAGAAATGTATGAAGCAGCACGTGTACTTTTAGTTTAAATAAATATAGTCACTAATAATCTGCTGTAACTAGTGCAACAAAAATGCAGTTTTATCTTGTGAAAATAAAATTTAAAAAAAGTTAAAATATAAAATTCAAAAACCTTCAGTATTTGGTAAAGTGCTTGCTATTTATTTTTTTCAATTTTTACTTGTGGATATAGTCAGAATGTGTAAATAACATGGCCATTAAACATACCGTAATGTAAAGTGTCAATGCAGTGTTACTGTATTTGACAGAATTTCCATTGCGTTATGTTTTAGTTACACATCTGACTAAAAATATATTTAAATTAAAAACATTAAAGGTGCTGTATCTGATTTTTACTGCCTTAAAAATGTAAAAAAAAAATAACTGGTTGATTTTAAACAGGTGCCATGGTCCAAAGATTCACCACGATGAGTTTATAAGCACTTTTCTCAACTTTCAGTGACCAATGTTTTGTTCTCACAGTAATTCTGACAACAACTAGCATGCTAATTAGGGTGCATCATTTGACCGATTTTTTTGAAAACATTTGGAAAATCAATCTGTACCTAGTATAAATTTTTTACACTTGTCCAAGTAAACTTCTGTGAGAAATTTCATGAAGTTCTATTGATGTTTACTGGGTCCACCAAACCTCTGAAGTTTAGTGCCTGTGGAAGCCTTAAAGGTTTTATGGAGGATTTTTTTTTTATTTCAAATTGTCAATGAAAGTTTAAAATACCATTACAGAGACGCAGCAGCCTTGTAATTATGATGACCAAAAAAAAAAAAAAAAGAATGAAAATCTATCAACTGTGGACGTAGTGAGGCCAGATAAACATCCGCCAATAGAAAACGAGGCTGCCTCATTTTCTATTGGCTGTTAGGTTGTCAATCAAACTCCCTACGTTTCTAGTGTAACTGACTCTGATGCGCGGGGATTACGTGGTTTATGCGGCGGTTCTTAGAGGCTTTTTCAAACTGTAGCTTCCTCGCCGTTCGCACAAAGTTTGTTGCGATGGCGGACGAGAATCCACGACCAGTTCTCGAGGTCGCTGAAAGAAGAGAAGGGGAAAAGGAGCAAAGCCAAACTGAGGTGATTCTTGGAGATTTCTTCCAGTGATTGCGCAAATGAAGCAGATAAAGGGTCTAAAAACTGACTCGTCGGTCGCTAAATTATTTCTAGACAGATAATTTCAACAGGAAATCTGAACACGCACGGGCTGTAAACAAGCGTGATTTCTAGAGTAAAGAGGCGGGAGGAGGTGTTTCTACTGAGGCTGTGGAGGAGGAAAGTGGTGTCACACATGCACAACATTTGAAAAAGGACTGCCGCTGTATTTCACTTTCCTTAAAAAATCCTCTCTACAACCTTTAAATCTGAGCTGAAAAATCTGTTTTTCTGTAATAACCTCCTTATCCTTTCTGGAAACTCGGTATTGTTGGTATTGTCACATTTTAAAATTGGGTACAAGTTGAATTTCTGACACTGGGGCAAATGATGCACTCTAATGCTAATAGTGCACTTTCTGATTCTCTGACTGTAAAACTCTTTGACAAAAACTCGCAGATTTTATTTTGAGTTCAAGAGCTGCTTAAACAATAAATCTGTACTGGGACAAGACGCATTTTACTCAAATACATGGGACAAAATCATTTACAGGACCTTTAATACACGAAAGCACCAGATTTTTTTTACATTTTTATAATTTTTTTAAAAATGTATTGATACTTTGCAGCTCATTCTCCCGGGGTGTGACGCAAACTGAAGGCACTGCTCTGTCCGAAGCTCTGCTACTCGAGTTAGACTTTAAAGGGCCCATCTCATGCAAAATCAACTTTTCAGAGCTTTCTACCTTCTAAGAGTGATGTGTGGGCCTTGTATTTGTCACCGAAGTGGTTTTTAGATTGATCCGGCGTTTTTTTTTTTTTTTTACAAATTGCAGCGTGTTTCTGCCACCCTCCCACGTGACAACGAACTAAAGCTGCTACAACGACGACGCGGCAGATACACCTATGACGCGTTTGACATAGCAGAAAACGCTTCCCCTCCACCGCCTCCGCCCCGACCGCAGCGTACACGATATAATACGTTTATCTACTAGTGCGCGAATGGGCAAATGGAGCCTCGTGAAGCATTAACACCTCAGTCGCAATATTGTCTCAAATGGTTGGACGTGTCTGAGGCCTCGGAGAAACACTGACCTCTAGTGGACAAATTTAACCATTGGCACACAGGTGTCTCAACATCGATGAAGTATTGTTTGTGTAAGACAAAACTTGTGTGCAAAGCGACACCGTACCTAACAATAACAACAAAAATAATAATGATTTAAAATAATATGTAAAGAGCAACATAAACAGCAGCTGTAAATAAGAAAACAGGTGTTTCCTTGTTGGTGGAATTAGGTCAAAGTGATCCCAAACCATAGATCGCTTTTTTCCACTTGTAGATGCCAACGAAAATGAAACAAATGTCAAAAGTCGCCAAAATCACCACTAACGTCACACAATCCTCCTCACTACCAACATTTTAAAGAAATATTGGAGCA